TTTTTTTTTTACAGATTTTTATGTCTTCAGCTTTTAGGAAATCCCCAGAAGTCTCCCAAAGTTTAGAAATAAAATATGTAAAACCAGGTTTAGCTAATGCTCCCATTTAATCCCCTGCAGTTTTATATTTACATCTATCCTCCCTAATCCCTCATCTGCCAGCTCCTGTTCCAAAACTCTGTCTCCTGTTCCCTAGAAGATATGCAGATGTAGAAGTGTCTGTTTCTGCACTTTTCTTCAGGATGGAGCAGATAGTCAATCAGCTAAGATCAACCTCAGGTTTTAATGAACACTGTTCGTATTTTCATTAGAATAATCCCCCCTGAATATCCCTGCCTCTTTCTATCAGCACATCTAATTAAATGGGTTACCACAGTAACAACAGTATATTATTAAAATAATGCTGGATCATTAGCCGGCTGCTTCTGTGACTAATAACTCAGATCAACTGCTGCAGGTTAAAGATTTCCTTCAGGCTACGTTCTTGATCTGTGATCTTGAAATGCAAACTTTAAAGATAAGCAGGTCGAGGCGAGAATGTATGAGGGTCCGTGTCTCTCACCGAGTCATTTTGGAGTAAAACGAAAACACCGACGGCTACAGCGCTGGATTCTTAAAGCAGGAAGCGTATCGCCTCCAAAGATCTAAATAGGTGGGTAGTTTCAATAATTATCTAATATATGTGCCTCACGCCGGTAAAGTGGAATAAAACCCAGAAAGAAATGTTTGACTTTAATTATTGGGCAACTTCTGTTAGTTGAATACAGGGCGTTAAGGTTTGCAGGTGTCTCTCTGGCAGTGGTGGGAAAGTTCTCTTTCTACGTGAACTAGTTCAAAGTTCAGTTCACACATTTTAAAATGAACTAGTTCCGTTCATAGTTCATAATTCAAAATTTTGAACTAAGTTCACAGTTCCAAAAAATGAACTAGTTCATAGTTCTTTTTTTTTTTCATATATTGCTCAATTACAACATAGCCTACTGTAGAACCACAGACAGCAATTATTTTATCAGTTGTAACTCTGAAACTGTGCGTCAGATTTCATCTTCATATCCAGTTTTGAATCCTTATCCAACCAGGGTTTACATTAGCATTGAGGGGACAGCATTTCCCCATTGTTGCTTTAACGCTTTGTTGCTGTCCATTCACTTCACACTAGTAGCAGCTGCAGCTTTCACCCCTACAGTATATTCTCAAAAACATCAGGAAAAATGTGCTGCTTGAATGGTCTTTTTTATGAGGAATTATTAAAAGAAAAACAGGAGTGTAGTCTTTAAGGTGCAAATGTTTTTTTTTTATTTAAAAATTTTTTTCCATTTGAAATTTCATTTCAGTACATACTAAAAAGGAATCCTGGAAAATTATAACAGGCAGGTTGCAGTGCGGATTTTTTTACTGAAAGCCGGCGAGCAAAGTTTGCAGAGAAATGTAAGATTGTTGCCATCATCCTCACCGACCACCTGGTCATAAAACTGTTTTAAGTGATCATACTGCTGCTTTGTCGCCTCCACGGTCGCCAGTGGCGGCCGGCCCATAGGGGGCGCTGTGGCACCGCCCTGCCTGATAAGAAGAGAGAAACGTAAAATATATTTTTTAGAAATTAACTCATAAATGTCAGTTTTACTCTCTAGAGTGTGTACCTATAAGCAAAACAAATTATATAAACTACATTTCCCTACCTACTGTCATTCATTTGTGGATTTCCACAGACAGACTCCTACCGTCTCTGTCTTGGGGCTGTGATCAGACTGACCCACATTTGCAGAGAATCTGCCAATCATGTACTATTGCTAGGTGAATTTAATAATTTAATGGCCAATCAGCGTCTCAGAACTTTATGGTCTTGGGGCTCTGAAAATACTGCGCTTTAACAGGCTTATGCACCAAAGCGCAGGTGCAGACAATTAGAGGGACGATGGCGAACATAACGAGCGAGATGCAGCTTCCACCAAATTCGGTGAGATCCTTATTTATCTACCCGTTTGCCAGAAGAACATCCCTGTTGTAGGATATGAACATTTCATGTCATGCTTATTGTGACTGTGACGAATCCACCTCGTCGCTTAAAACAACCTCTCTAACTTTGCGTGCCACACACACATTCCTGTTATACTGTGTTTGTGAGGACCAATACACTCGCGCTGAGCCCAGTAGCTCTATTAACTTAAAACACACAAGCTGTTCCTGGTTACCTGCTGGCGTATTGAGGGAGCACACTTAATATTTCAGTGGGGTTAGCCGTGTGTGTGTCTGTGTACGTGTTTATGCTACGGGGACTTGTCATCTTCAGTCTGGCTGCGTCTTTGCTGGGTTCAAACCCAGTTTGGTGTAATTGAATAAGTCAATGAATCTGTGTAAAATAATTAACTTGTAAAAATTATTTGTTTTTGTATATCTATTGTTTGTGGAGGTAATATATGGACAAAACTGATTAATGAGAAGAAATCAGAAATAAGAGAGCCTGAGGGGAGGGGCTTAAACTATTTAATGAGGGCTGTGGGAAGAAGAGCGGCCATTTCTGTTTTGTTTCTTTGTGACATTGCTGGCAACTGGAGGGAGGCTGAGGCCCAGAGTATCTTGTACATGTTTAGTTTCTTTTGCACCCTGTTTTGAGTTTTTGAGCTCAATAAATCACCAACACTGGTAACCCGACTGAGCCTGGATTCTTGGAGGCCAAAGAACCCCGTCACAGTGACCCAAATCATCACTGTTATTATATAGTAAATTAAATCATTACTGTTAAATTGTATGTATTGTCCAATTGTTTATTTGAATTCTTATTCCGGATTAGTTGGAGACATACACTAGGCTATATCAGCCCCACCAAAAATATTTTTCACCAGCCACCACTGACGGTCGCCTCCATGCTGCTGTGGCTTCCACGCTGCATTTTGTTTTGATGACGCACGCGGCTGTAGGCTACGACACTGGTAGCTGGTGTTGCCAGATTGGGTGTTTTTCCCGCTACATATTAAGGCTTATTTACGGTGTGAATTAGCCGGGGTTTCGCCTGGAGAACTCTATAGAAATTTGGCATCTTATTGAACGGAGTCGAACTGAGAGAGCGTGCCGTTCACAGACACCAGAATGAACGAGTTCACAATAACATTCATCAGGCAGTAATATAGTACGTTCAGTTCACGTTCGCCCAAAATATGAACGAGTTCATGAACTTTTGTTCAATGAACGCGTTCAGGCACAACACTGCTCTCTGGTGTTACGAGGTTGTTTGTCGTGCGCAGTGATGGGACTAACGGCGTTGAAAGTAACGGCGTTACTAACGCCGTTACCTTGTTTTAGTAACGAGTAATCTAACTAATTACTTTGACTGTAACTATAACGCAGTTACCATTGCAGACACCCCGTTACTGCGCGTTACTCAGGTCGCACAATGAACCTTTTTTCATGATAGGACTCGTGCGCAGCTGCGTGAAGCTGACACCCCACCCACGTCAAAAAACTCTGCAAATAGACTGAATGGTTAGTGCAACGTTAGTGCAGATTTGTGCAGAAAAAAATATTGTTTGTGCTACTTTTGTTTAAGAGATATTAAAGATTTATTTTAGGTCATCCAGAGGTGGGCGCCTTGTCATGAGAGAGGGGAGGATGAGATTCCGTCTGTCAGTTGAATAGGTGGGTGTTTCTGCTGGTGGGTGTTAACGTACAGCACACACAGAGAGATGGAGAGTGAGGAGGACTCCAGCAGCAAAACAGCGTTTTCCACATGGAAATACCGGTGTTACGTAGAGCTGCATTTCCCCATCACATAACGGTTTCCTCTGCATCTCTACACAGCGCAGGCGGCAAGAGTCACCGCGCAAGCGACAGGAAACGCGCATGCTAGCTAAAGGCGCGCAACAGTCGCCCTTTGCTCGCGCCACAGGAGAACTATGGAGAGCGTGAACGATCAAATGAACCTGACAACAGCCAGAAATGATAGCCTATATGGAGAAAGGGAGAAATCTGGATGGATGGATGGATGGATGGATGGATGGATGGATGGATGGATGGATGGATGATGGATGGATACTCTGACTTTTCAACCTACTGTATTTTTTATTTTAAACATTATTTGATGGCCTTTGTGGCAGGGATGGAGATCCATATTTTATGTCACACACAGAGTATAGATCTAGATAGATAGATGGATAGATAGATGTTGCAGTATCTATAACAACCCAAACACACAGGATTTCAGAATTAGACATCCCCAGTTATTAATTTCATTCACTCACCGGATCTGAATGTCCTGTTATAAAACTTCACATGGCGTTCCCCCCTGATGTCATTTACGTTGAGTTGCAATAAATGCTAAACTCTCTGCAGGTTCTTGTCTTTGTCGTCCGCTCTATTCAGCTGGCTTTGGAAACACACGGCGAGAAGGTGGGGGCTGGGTGGTGAGGGTTACGGGGGCGAGAAACGCAAAAGTAACGTAATAGTTACTTTTACTAGTAACTAGTTACTTTTATTGTGGAATAACTCAGTTAGTAACGCAGTTACTTTTTGGGAGAAGTAACTAGTAACTATAACTAATTACTTTTTCAAAGTAACGTGCCCAACACTGGTCGTGCGTGTCTCTGTGTCGCCCTGGGATGGACGTGTCCTCAGTGAACCTCTCCTGTTGGCCGTCGACACCAGTTTTCTCTGTTTAAAGGACCATTTGCTTCCGTTTGAGAACAGTTGCCAACGTGTCTTTGGTTCGGTGACTGTAGGCCTCGTTACAAAACACGTGTCAGAACACTAACCCTTTAAACTGCTGTCAGAATATTTTTATGTAAAAGGAGCCGGCTGGTTTCCAGGAGGAAATGTCTGTATCTGTATAATGTTTTTTTTTATGTGTTGTCTTATTAATTCATAGGGGCCCCTGCCTGTTTTTGTCCCAAATTTGCCTAAATTCGCCCCTGGCTAGCAGCATAAACTTTGGTTTTAATAAATAATCCAGATTTATTGGATCCGATGTTCTTCTTTTAACCCGTCTGGGTGTCATGTCCTGTCTGCAGGTGAACATGCCTGAGCTGGCCTTGCTGCGCTTTGTGGTGCTGGATGATGACTACATCGGGGA